TTTTCTGTAACCCAGGGGGAAGACAGGCTTTTTTTGAAAGATGACAAAATGTCTAGCTTCCAAGTGTCATCTAAAAGCGTCACACAGGGGGCCGGCCTCGTGGCTTAGCAGTTAAGTGCGCGCGCTCTGCTACTGGCAGCCCGGGTTCGGATCCCAGGCGAGCACGGACGCACCGCTTCTCCGGCCATGCTGAGGCCGTGTCCCACATACAGCAACTAGAAGGATGTGCAACTATGACATACAGCTATCTACTGGGGCTTTGGGGAAAAGAAAAAAAAAAAGGAGGAGGATTGGCAATAGATGTTAGCTCAGAGCCGGTCTTACTCAGCAAAAAGAGGAGGATTAGCATGGATGTTAGCTCAGGGCTGATCTTCCTCACAAAATGAATAAATAAATAAATAAATAAAGTATCACACAGCGGAACCTGCGTTTGTAAAAAATGATGCCACTGCCGAGATTTCCCATAGTACACACGGAGTTAACACTGTACCCCGACACACTGCCTCCTAGACCCAATAATTGTTGCTAAATTAATGATTACACTGCAAACAGGAAAGAAGCCACTGCAGAAAATATATGCACAGAGCTCCAGGATGGTAAGGGGCCCCGGGCTGTGTGGGGCGAGATGCCCACTGCACTCAGATTCCCTTTGCATCTTACTGGGCTCTGACGCCAGCAGAGCCTTGGGTGGGCATGGAAGGAACCCTCGCAAGCAGGGCCTGAACTCGGTGTTCAAGAAATACGTGTTCAATGAAGAACAACCTAGCGCCTGGGCCCAGTCGACCAGTACCTCACATTTCTGACCACGGCTTTAAAGTTCTAATCTTGAGACATCAATCCTCCCCAGACATTGCTCTGCAGATAAAAAGAGTGCTTTGATTACCGAAGGTTTAATTCATCGAAATGACTTAATGAGGGAAGCAGACAGCTAGAAATTCCTGTCACCCGCCACTTTGTGGAAGGAAGTGGTCCACTCTGCCTTAGGGACATTCCAGGGGGCAGACATTCAAGAGACATCTGAGTGTCTGTAAGTGCCATGCTCCGTGCTGGGCTCCAGAAGTGCACTGAAGGGACATGTGTCCTGGCAGCCCCATTCCCACTGCAGCCACGTGGACCCGCCCGGTCACTGAGCAGAACCTGGGATTCAGTTCATCTCAGAGCTCACTTGCTTGTGTGTGTACAATGGGGACAAGTTAATACATGGAAGCACTGGTGCCTGTCGCATGGCAAATGGTCACTAAATGTTATTCTTACCGTTAATGGAAAGACGTATAAGGACTCAATGAATGTGAGCTTTCTGTAAATACTGGACTGATAGTTACCTTGCCATACGCAAAAAAGGACTCAGCTGCCACGTTCACGCTGCCCTTAGGGAGCACTGGATTTCTCAGCAGTCCCCCCTCCCAAGCCCACAATCTGTGTCTAAGACGATGAGTCATTTTTGGGGTGTGACACAGTCTTGCTTGGGGTGGGTACTGAGTCATGGTAAGTCTGTCCGTCCAGCAACGCTGAACTGATTTTAGGCTAAAGTGAAAATCAATTTAAATTTGCAGATACTCCTTGTGACAACAGAAGCAGCCCAAAAAATGAGAAAAATAATTAGTCTCAGAAATAGCCTTCCTTAACGGCCGGGGCTGGGGGAGTGAGGAATATAGATGGGGGTTTTCATTTTTTTTTTTTTTTTTGTAATTGTATAATATAAATCCCGTTGGCACACAAAGCACTCCATCACTTTGGTATCAGGCGCTACATCGCTTCAGCCACCCTGATGTTATCGCTGTAAAAGGCATTTTCTGCTCCACTAACAAAGCTCCTTAAGAACCATCTGTGTAATTCCAAGCGAGTTGGGCTTTACCATCTTTGAGCATTAACTGGATTTGACAACCTCGCCTGAGAAGGGCCCCTTGAGAGCACGGCCCACGGGAAAGTGTTTGGGATTGAGAGCTCACAGAACGTGGCCACTGCCACTGCCAAAGAGAGTAACCTTAACTCAGTGACTTATCTCTCCGTGGGTGTCTCTCCCCACCTCCAAGAAGAAGACACATATCTCGGAGCGATGTAATTAGGCCTGGAGAGAAGAGCCGTAAAGCTCCTGGTACGTAAAATGCCCCCCGTAGAGAGCAGCTCTAGTCATCATTACATGGAATTTTACCATAATTTCACATCTGATTAGAAAACCGCCCTGAAATTAAGACTTGGATATGTCCTCCTTACTCTTCAGCTATGAGCAAAATTCTCCTATCTCAGGGAAAATCAAGGACTGATATAATTTAGAGTCAAGATAAAATGGCAGAGGAATGGGGCACCACAGACAGCATCTCTAGGAATAACCTACTCTAAGGCTCTGCACATCTGTGCTGTCAAGACCAGACCCTCTGAGCGCACCTTGAGGCGCTTTCTCGGAAAGAAAGGCATCCAGACATTCCAACAGGTCCGAGATGGTATGAAAACAGGAGATCACGCTTTGCATGAAGTCCAAGGAGAAACAGTCACTGTCCTCAGCTCTGTGCAGGGAAAATGCCCAGACAACCCCACATGGGGGGCTCTCCCAGGGACAGCCCAGAGGTGCCAGTGGAGAGCATTGGCTGTCACACACAACGCCACTGCTGAGATAACAGCCATCTCCCACTGACCTGACACAACACCAACCAAGCAACCTTCTCATCGAATTTTGCTAAATTAATGATTAATCTCAAATTATCCTTTTCCACTGACGAGACGACTTGTGGACTTTCCGACCTCATTATTTATAACTGCTCACAAGAGGCAGAGTCAGGATAAGGAGCAGAGAAAATGCTGTCTGTCTGTTGCCCCGTTACCTCCAGTGCCTGTACACCAGCTACCAGGTAGTTGAGCAAACTTGGGAACGAGGGTTCAAAAGAACGACCCATACATCTTTTTTTCAACAGTCATAGCCCATTAATGGTAAAGTAACCTTGAAACTCTGACTTTGAAGCCTGGTGGTTTAAGAGACCAGTTCCTCTTCCTGTGCCAACGTGTTTTGCTCTCTCCGGCCCCAAGATAAGATTCACTGCAACTGCTTCCTAATTCGTGCTCGCCCACGTCTCTGCACGCACGTGCTTTTGAAGCCTTTGACCGGGAAATCACTCCAGCCCCGCCGCGACCCCACCCCGACCCCACCTGGCACTGTCTTCCGGGGTTCATTTCACGGGCTATGTCATCTATTTCGCTCTGCCATTTCCCCAGTTCCGCCTTTGCTGTATCACATTTTCTTTCTCTGCAATGTTTATATCGGGGGTCACTTTGCTAAAATACCAGTAGGAACAGCCCTGCTTCCCTGTAGGGCGAGAGCGGCGACTAGAGCCATGATCTCTGCCTTCAAGACGACGGGGAGGGTCTCCGCGCCTCCTGCCCGCCGCGCGCCTGGCGCCCAGTGCCGAGGGTGCAGGGGAGGCTCCCGCCGGGGACCCACGCTCCAGGAACGCTGCGGTCCCGCGCCTCCTGCCCGCCAGGTGCCAGGTGTCCAGGACCGAGGGCGCAGGGAGCACGGGCGGCGACGGGCAGGGCATCACGTAGGCTCCCGCGGCGGGCGGGGCGGCGGCCACAGCGCCCCAACCTGCCGCCCCCGGCCGCCCGGCCGCGCCCCGCTCAAGGGCGAGGGGAAGGTCACTGGCAGGGGCATCGGGCGTGTCACCCAAGCATCTCTCCTCCGGGTGTGGCCTCTAAACATGTGAAAAGAAGGCATCAGGGCCTTTCAAATCCTCTGTGGGGCAGAGAGGAAAATAAAACCTAACCCCAGCTCGGGGACGCGTCTCCAGCCTGCGCGATCCTTAAGGCTCCAAGGACGCATCCGCCTGGGAAGCGCCGATCTCCTTACTAGCGGTTGGCTCGCCCCACCCGGGTTTACCTGGGTCAGGAAACCCCACCGTCTGGGGACACGCGGCCCCCACGTGCACCCAGCGCGACGGGCCCGGGGCGCAGCCGTGTCACCCTCCCCCCTTTAAATTTAAATATAGTCTTCGTGCGTCCGCGGGCCCCGGGCTTGAGTCCCCTCCTCCCCGAAATCAGCGTCCGCATGGGGGTGGGGGGAGCCTGGAGTCCGCGCCCCGGGCGCTGGTGACGTCCCGGAGTCCTCGCTTCCTGGTCCTTCCCATTCAAGGAGGCTGGCGGGGAGGGCCTAGTGACCCATTTTAGTTTTCGGTTTTGTCACGAGCCGGAAGGCGACAGGAGGTTAGACTGGTGGAAAACCTTTTTTAAAATCTCGGGCGGAAACGCGAGGCGGTGCTGGGCCGCCGAGCATCCCGGGCGGGGACCTCCGCGCGCACCCCGCCGCGTCCGGCAGTCAGCAATGGGGAGCCCCCCCCCGCGCCACGCGGCGTCGTGAGTCCGCAGGACGCGCGGCGGGGACCCAGCCGTTTTTTCCACGACGTTGGGGGGTTGGGGGAACACGGAGCTAGGGTGGAGCTGGGGTGGGAGCCCTGGCAAGGGAGGCGGCCCACGCGGTAGCTAAGCCCCATCCTACGAATCGGATGAGGAATGCCCCCGAGGGCAGTCCAGGCGACCCCCTCACCATTCTCAATTTAAAAAATAAACGTAGAGGTGGAAAATCGATCTTCCAGATGAAGGATCCTACTGCGTATGCCTCCCTCCCCCTGCTCCCGCAGTGGCTCCCGAGGCTGCACGGCCCGTTCTCGCCCCCGGACGGTAGCCCTGCGGTTTCTGGGCGCAGGGGCTTCTCCCCGACTCTTCTCTTATCCCCGGGTACCCCCCCGGTACTCCTCTCCTCCTCGCTTCTCCCTGTTCCCCCATGGCTTGTTCCCGCTTGCCCCCGGCCCCCCATCTCTTCTCCCCGGTCCCCCCATCTCTTCTCCCTAGTTCCCCCTCTTCTTTTTCCCGGCTCCCTTCATCCCTTCTCTCTGGTCCCCTCTCCTCATCCCGTCTCTCCGGGCCTCCCATCCCTTTCCCCTGGTTTTCCCCCTCCCCGTCCCTTCTCCCCGGTCCCCCTCCTCCGCCCCGGGCTCGGGGAGGCGGTCGCGCACCTTGGGCATCCCCGCCGCTGGTCAGCACGCCGATGGCTTTGCCGGCCCCGGAGAGGTGCTCCAGGAACTTTCGGAAGGCGCCCTTGGGGCTGGGGGAGACGTCGTGGTCGTCCATGGCGAGCCGGCAGGAGACAGCTCCGGGACGGACACTCAGCAGGCAGCGCGCTCCGCCCGGCCGCCGCCACTCGGAACGGCCGGCCCCGCCCGCTCGGCGCGCGCCAATGGGTGGCCGAGGGCGGGCTCCCGGCGCCGGGGCCTGCCGGGCGGGCGGGGCCGGCGCGCGCCGCCGGGGGTGGGAGGGTCAAAGCGGAGGAGGAGCCCCGCAGGTGCGGGAGCCGGGCAGGTGGGGGGGGCATCACGATGGGGGAGCGCCGCAGGCGGAGGGGAAGCACCGCAGGTGGGCGGAGCATCATCGTTGGGACAGGATCACAGTAATTATGGGAGCGACGCAGGTGGGGGTAGGGGGCATCGTGGTGGGCGGAGCATCGCAGAGGGGGCGCCTCACGGGGTGGGGGGAGCACCGCAAGTGGGTGGGAGTCCGCAGGTGGGCGGAGCACCACAGGCGGGCGGGATCACAGCATTGGAGGGGAGTGCCGCAGGTGGGGGCGCAGGGCCAGCGGCGGTTGGGGACCGAAGCCCAGCAGAGGCGCGCGCCCCGCTTTCCGCTGGATTCCTCCGGGGGTGGCGCTCGGAGCCGCGGGCGCCCCAGCTTCTCCTCCGGCTTCACCTGGGGCCTGAGGTCGGCAGGAAGGACACGCGAGCGGATCCTCGAGTTAGCGGGCAAACGTGGGCGTCGCTGGCCGGCGACGACGTAGCGCTGGTCCGTGTCCCCACAGGCGCTCTGGCGCGCCCTGGGCCCCGCCCCGCACGGGGGAGGAGAAGGAACGTGAGGGTAGAGGCGACCCTAGCGACACCCTCGCGCCAGGCCTGGGTGCTGGGGAATCCAGTGGGGCGGGGGAAGGACAGGAAGGGTGGCGGGGCAGATAAGACCCAGCTTTTTACCTAGAGGAAACCGGGTAGTTCCTGAATTGTCAGCTCTCACAGCTCTGTAGGAAAACTCCAAAACCGAAACACCCGTATCCATGTGTCGAGTGACTGGTGAACAGCAGAATTTTCCGGAGCTTCCCCTAGTGCCAGTCACCTGCTGCGGATATGGAGACGGATCCCCCTCCGGCACGCAGCTTTTGTAGTTGGGGTACGGTTACCCCAAGAAAAGAGTGTGATAAACGGCCCCATCGGCGGTTCATGGTGGCGATGGCACAGCGCCGGACCCTACCACATGCGCAATAAATGTTTTTCGAGTGGATACGAGAGGGAAAAAGAGACCAAGAAAAGGCTTGTTCTGTCAGCCTAGAGAGGTCTCTAATAGCAACACAAAGGAGCCCTTTACTGTAGGGCAACCCCAGACAGATTTAGGTTGGATGCTTGCCTCGTACCAGCTCTGCCTCATCCTCCTGCTCATCTCTCTGAGCATCAAAAATTCATCGAAAAAGAGAAAAAAACGCCTGCTGCGGACAAGGCTAGAGAGCTGGTCCCTGCCCACTGCCGGCGTTAATGGAGCAACTTCCACACCGCATGGTCGTCTGAATCAGCCGGCCTGCTTTTTCCCGCTCCACCAGAACCGCTGAAGTCCAGTTTCCGGGAGTGCTGCCAGGGAATATGTATTTTTAACGAGCTCCCAGCTGATTCTGATGGCTGCAGAGTCTGAAAGCAACTGCTCTCTAATGGATGGAGCCTGGGCCAGTGATGCTGAAAAGAAGACTGGGCGATCCGGAGATGGACCGTGCGTGCCCTTCACTCTCCCAGTAAAGGAGAATGGAGCCATCATCTGGACCTCCACCCAGTGGCCTCGTAGCCCACAGCCCGGGATTTGTGTTCTAGAATCATCCACCCCTTTCTAGAGCATCCTACACTTTAAAAATTGGGTGCACACTGAATTTTATCTTAGTTAAAAGACTTTTATCATCTTATAAAATTAATATTTTTGTAATTCAGAGTTAGAAGATTGGTCATTTGTCACTGAATTGTCTGTAATACAGAAAACAATAGATACAACCTAAGAGTCCAAACACGACATCCGGTTAAGTAAATTAGGGTAAAAATAGACACTGGAATAGTTTTCCATTGCTGTTACGGTTATGAAGATAAGTGTCTGCTGACACAGAGATATGTCCAGGGTGTGTTAACCAGAGGCAAGGTTAGAAATAGTGCATGTGTGCATATATATGTAAAACTACATATTTTTATTTTCTTTCTTTTGCTCTTTATGGATATTGTCTTTTCCTCCAATGAACAAGTATTGCTTTTGGGATAAAAATATTGTAGTTAACTAAAAACAATAAAGTGTGGAGTTGTCAGACCCCCAAGGTTACAGCTGTTTTGCAAGAGCTTAGGTCTTTCTGTGCAGAGTTGAAGTTCCGGTAGGTTGTTCATCAGCCTTCCCCAGCCATGCTCGTGAGCTCTGACCCACTGCTCCGGGGAAAATATATAGATAACTGCAGCTCATATGGAAAGACACAGCCTTCTCTCCTTTCTCTTTCTTTTGCAATACTTCAACTGGAGTTTTTTTTTTTTTTTTTTTCATAACTTCGGCCTGAGAAGAGAATTCTCTGACACAGGAGGGGAAAATTGCATGCCATATTGACTGTACAGCTTACCTCCAGCAGGACGTGACATGTACATTAGTTCTTTATTGCTGCCTAACAAATTTCCCCCAAATTTTGTGGCTTGTACCAACACACACTCATATCACAGGAAAATTATCCCAGGGGTCGAGAATCCAGGCAGGCTTTGCTGGGCCTTCTGCTCAGGGTCTCTCAAGCTGCAACACATTGTCTGCCCAGGGTCTGAAGTCTCATCTGAAGGCTGAACAGGGGAAGGAGCGGCTTCTGCGACACTCCACGTTGTCAGCAGATTCATTACCCAGAGGGCTGGAGGACAGAGGGCCTCAGTCCTTCACGGGCTGTGGGCTTTAACTCTGCCCTCATCTGGACAATTTCCTTCCGTTCCAACCATTGAGCTAACTTTGAGCTAAGCTGCAACCACAGCTGCACAATCATCTGCCGTTTTCCTCAGGCTCCCCTTCCCTCTCCTTCTTTCGTACGTTTTGGAAAGTCCAAGAATAAATGAAATCATTTACTAAACTAGGAAATGCTGCCTTCGACCCCTGCCTCCCCTCGCCAGTTTTCTTTCAGTTTCCTTTTGTCTAAATTTAGGAATAATTCTGCTCTATCTCTAGCAGCTAAAGTTTAAATTATATATAAAACAGCTGGATGCTTTCCAGGACCTGGATGCAGAGTCACGTTGTCCTGAACCAATTAGAGTGAATATCTAGACACTGGAAAACAACTGAAAGACATAATTCTGCAAAGTATGTGGCCACTAAGGGTTTTGACCCCTCTAGGAAGTTTCATCAGGGGTGTGAATTGGAGCCTCTCGCAGAACAACTTGATTTCCTCCTGAGTCTGTTGCTGTAAGTCGATTAATGGAGACTCCCTCCTACTGCCCGCCCTTCCAGTGAGACAGGAAAGCAATCGTCATGCGTGTGAAGTGTGTGGTGACAAGTGGAAGAAATTCATTTGTTCTTTCAGAGGAACCCCATCTGAGCAGTTCCATAACTGCTAGTGTGACTTCAGAAAAAAGACAGAAAGAGACATCCCTCACCATCGAAAAATAAGTTATAGGAATTCCCCAGTTAGAAAAAGAAATTGTGATTTTGGCAGTGTTGCCGTGTGATAATTAACTTCATGTGTCGACTTGACTGGGTCATGGGCTGCCCAGATATTTGCAAAATATTATTCTGGGCGTGTCTCTGAGGATGTGTCGGGATGAGGTTAGCGCTGGAATCAGTGGACTTGGTGAAGCAGACGCCCCTCCCCAGTGGGGGGGGGTGGGGGGCTCATCCAAGCCACTGAGACCTGAACAGGACAAAGAGGTGGAAGAAGGGAGGGTCTGCTCTCTCTGCCTCAGCTGGGACATCTGTCCTCTCCTGCCCTCTTGGCTCTTGGCCTTCAGGTTTGGACTGGCATTACGCCGCCGGCTGCCCAGGTCTCCAGCTCGCAGACAACACATCAGCCTCCGTAACTGCGTGAGCCAACGCCTCGTAATTAATCTCCCCATATATATAGGTATATGCCATTGGTTCTGCTGCTTCAGAGAACCTGACTAGTACGTACAGTCAGGTTAAATACGTTCTGTTTTAGTTGTGAAACACCAAATCTGAACACTGATTTGCACGTTACCTGCACGTAGACTGTGTCCCCGTTGGCATTTACAAGTTTGAACTTATAATGGCAGGTTCTGAAAGCTCCCTCCCTTCTCTATCAGGATTGAAGTGGTTCATGGCCGAGGCATTCGAGGAAACACCCCTGAAATAGCAGAAACCAAAGCTATAAACAGTAACGCTTCTTCAGTCTGCAAATCGACCATGCATGTGTCAGCGGCACATGGCAGCATCTAGCGGGAGGTTTTAATGTTTTTGGGTGTCAACTTTCTGAGATTCTGACATAAGCCACAGACCCCTTCCTCCACCCAAGAGTGCTTGTCTGCCTACACAACCAACAAAGAAAAAAGCCTTTGAAAATAATCACTCAACTTCTTGTTTCTCGGTTTTTTCTGAACCATACGGTGCTATTTCCTAGTACCTCTCCCTAAAACCTTCTCTTTGTTTGGATGTTTTTGGTTGCCATTTTACATGAGTTAACGTTAAAATAGAACACAAAATATTACAGTGACTATAAATGAAGGGAAGATCAAAGACATTCCCTGCATGTTCTATCATCAATCTGAAACACTGTGGAACTGATTTCTCTCTATCGCCCCTTGCTCCTTAGAAAGCTGGGGGTCCCCTCCCTCACAGTCACAAGGAGAAGCTTCTAATTTGTCTTGCCTTGTGGCAGATAAAATGTTAAACAATGGGCATGCATTTCAAGCTTGCTCCTTCCATCCAAATGTTTGGTCCATTTTGTATTTCTCTTACCCTGGGTTGGTGCCTCCTGTTTCCTGTATCCCAGAGATTTCTAGAAGAAAAACATTTAGGAAGCCCTGAGTAATCCCATGTAGTCTGTCAGATCCAAGTACCCCCTTGGTAGCAAGAAGGTGGCTCATGCCCGGAACCGGGGTGCTAAAGCTTTAGCCCAGCTCACAACCATTTCCTGGAAAAGCTTTCAGAACAGAGCCATTCACCTGAAGTG